GGCAGGGACCCACAAGTACCATATTTTAACGTCTTTTGGAATTGACGCGGCCGGGGATCGAACCCGCGACTTTCCGCTCTCCGGTCGGACGCTCTAACCACTACACCAAGGAGGCGGTCCCACAAAATGGTAGGGTGAGTGAGTGAGTTTAGTTTTACGCTGCACTCATCAATATTCCAGCTATATGGCGACTGTCTGTAAATAATCGAGTCTGGACCATATAATCCAGTGATCAACGACATGACCATCGATCTGCGCAAATTGGAACCGATGACATGTGTCAACCAAGTCAGCGAGCCTGACCACCCGATCCCGTTAGTCGCCTCTTACGACAAGCATGGGTTACTGAAGATCAATATTCTAACCCGGATCTTCACGAGTACAAAAAGGTAGGGACCTCCTTCCAGTATTTCAGTATGTTTGTCGCTCTGGAGGTTCCTATTTGGGCGATATGGGAATCCAACCCGGAATCAGAGAATCCCAGCATTTATGCTACAAGATTCTCTTTTAAACTCTACATCATCATTTGCATCAGTGAGTGAGCTTGGTTTTACAGCGTATCCTAATATTCGACCACTTTTTTCTTCATATCCTCAAGTCAATTTATAAGTCCTTTTTTGCTCTATTCTGTTCTTCATTAGTCCCCATAAATTCTCAATAGGGTTAAGATCTGGGCTGTAGCTGGGCCAGTCTAAAACTTGAACATTTTCGTTCGACAACCACTGTAGCCCGCAGCGTGATGTTGGTTGTTATCATGTTGGAAAATTCAATTATCGTCATACAGCGTTCGGGCCGTTGGAAGGAGCTTATCATTTAAGTTGTCAGCATAACGTTCCTTCGTCATATTTCCAGTGAAAATACACAACGGCGTCACTCCACGTGATGATATCCCACCAATTTCGGGCTATGTTTTGGGCGTTGGTAGATAGGTTTCACGGTATCTTTTGTCCACATTTTCACACAGTTCACCAGAAAAGAAAACATTATCCCAATCTTGATTTTCGTGAGCCCTACTCCAGTTTAAATGTCTTTCTTTTTGTGCATCTTTCATCAATGGTAAGGGAATTCCGCGCAATTTTCACACAATTAAGTCTTTGTAATTCTTGTCTTAGAGTTTCATTACATACCTAAGGACTTCCTCTATTAATCATCTCATTTCCGATATTCACAACGCTTTTCAGTTTTCCCCTACTCACAATCTGACCAAGTCGCCGGCGATCTGTCGTACTGAACTTCCTTGGCCTCTCTGCCCCTGTCTTGTACTCATTCCCAGCTCCTGACTGAATTTTCTTCAAAGTTCTGTATACTGTAGACAGAGGAATGTCATGTCTACCAACTCTTTTGCATTAGTCACACCCCTTTCAAAATAATCTAGAACCAGCTTTCTTTTCTCTTCTGCTGTCAAATCTGCCATGTCAATTGCAACAAAGGAAGCCGTCTGCTTCTCCGGGGGAGGTAACTCTTGATGTAGTAAGGTTCATTGTTTAGCCTAAATGAGTTGCCTCCCATATTGAGTACCTTACTACATATTGTAACACCTATCTTAAAATTCTATTATCAGTATCAGGAAACAAAGATTTTCTCAATAATTTCTGGGAAAACTGTAGTTTTAATTTTACATGCTATCCCCAATAAATTCATGACGCATGTTTTACCAGGATGGAAACACGTGAATTTGGTGAAGCATAAATTTCATGATTTTCAGTAACCAGTTCTAATTACTGTAGTAGATGACAAATAGGGCGGACCGTCATGACCAGTGTCCAGTTGAGAGTTTCACGTTTGTACGTAAAAAAGTCAAAAATTTGGTGTTCTGTCCACATTATAAGACATTATCAAGGAAATGCATGACAATGAAGATTGCCAAGACATCACATTATGAACTGTGACTTAATGTAAAATCGCACATATAGCTAAAAATGTTAATTGAAATGAACCAATCTCGCCCAGATTCCATTAGGCATAAAAGTCAAAATAGAGGTAAAATATTATGAACGGATAGCTGAAAATTAGTGATGAAATCAGGTTTTCAAGAAAAAGGTTAGCATATCCTGCCCAACCGGTAGCAACGTTACTCACACTATTTGTGTAGAACCAAGTCTATTTTTATTTGAGGCAGATTAAAGCTCAGGCGAATTTATTTCTTATGCTAAGTAAACTGGAAGCAAATCAAAGTTCACCGTCAAATATCACCATTACTGCCTTTGTTATGAATTAAAACCGAAAATATGTTTTATTCATGTCTGAAAATTGGTCCAGTTATAAGAGGTTGTTTATCGATGCATGCAATTATTTCTGAAGAAGTCAGATGAAGAGAATAAAGAATATGATCTTCAACGGGAAGAAGTTGACCTCTACTAAAGTTATAGCAGTGATGGCGTTCCTCCTCTTCTGGAACTATACATTGCGGTTCCTGGTCCTGGCACGACCAATATTACGTGTCGCGGTCTTTATTAAAACCCTCCCTGCGGGAACAGGGGGGGGAAGAGAAAGAACGCGGTATTGAACGACTTGCAGGTCTGTAGAGGCGCGAGGAATATATATCATTGCAATCTAATTAGCCACTTTATAATCAGTGGGCCAGGAGGCCAGTGCTCTGCGAGCTGTATATTTCCCCTCCAGCCGGCTTGGGTTGTACTGTAATCATGCATTAGAGGGTTACTTTCCTGGAATGTTTTTTTTTATTAGTGGTAACATCGGTTTGGGTGGGTGTACTTCAACATTATTGAGAATTATATTGTTCAGTATGAAATCTAGTGAGGTTTATTTGTTATCTATTTGTCGTCAAACAAGAGATGTGAGCAAATGACCTTGACGTGTAGGATACGTTGTTCCTTGGGTTAGGATCGGCTTGTTGAATAAAATCTATCTGGTTGAAAGTCTAAGAGCCAATTATGTAGAATCCTCAAGACCTAGAAACGAGGAATAGATGTTGAACCACATATTCGAAAGGGTGCAATAACACCTATGACATTGATGTTATTCCATGTTGCCTTAAACGTTAATCAAACCGTTTTTTTGATAAGTTTGATCGCGCCATGCCTTAAGGTTGCTGCACCCTGTGTTTTGCCATACCATTAATGACCCGGCTTCATCATATCATCCATGGCGCCTGGTTTCAACAATATCTAAATGGTGAAAGGGTTCGCTGATCAGAGTAAAAGTATGGGTTTGAATCCTACCATGTGTACAAATAGAGTTGGCAATATGTGTGCTTTTATCTACTTCAGTGATTTGTGCATTCAGCCACTATGTCTCACCCACTCAGTCTCTCAAAACTTTATTTATTTTTCTACTTATACTATTTATCACTATCTTCGTCATTTGTTCCACTGATGCGGTATCTCACCAACAACCCATCGACAGTTTCTCATCCTGTTACCAGTAACTTGCTTACCCTCATTTTAGTCCAACATCCACCTTAGCAGTATGTCACGGCCCCACCACCTGTTTATCCATTTAGTTGCTCAGCCTCTGTACCAGTAGACTGCTTGCCCACTGCCCAGTCACCTGATCCACCACCACTCATTCAGTCCACCTACCTATATTCCACTCTACAACCTCTCACTCACCCACTTTGGATGCAGTCAGCAACCAACCAAGCAATCCACTAGCCCAGTGATTCAGAGTCGCTAACCGACTCATTCAGTTAGCCACTCGCCCATTCGCTCACTTCCGGTCCATCCCGTCAGCCAATCAACCGCCGCTCAGTCATGTTAGACGAAGTCATCCACTCACCGGGCACGCTGCTCACCCTCTTATACACGATGCAGTCACGCACCCACCAACACGTCCACCCAATTACTCACTACTACCCAGCCATCCATTCTTCACAACCACCACCAAGTCATTAACGAATCAGTCCTTCACTCACCCATTCACTCAGCGAGCACATACCCAATGACTCATGACGCAGCCATGATCGTCCACTCAGTAACACACCCATTCACGTACTTCCCAGCCATCCGTTCAACAACGTTCATCGACGCAGTCATCCACTCACCAACTCACTCCCTAACTCAAGACGTAGACCGCTACTCAACCGCAAACCAGTCACCAACTGACTGAGCAAACCACTCCCTCGCGTACGACTTGGTCAGCAACTCGCAGTCTCGCCCAGTCACCTTTTACCCAGCCATCCAGTCCACCGTCCACTTGCCATGTCACTCGGCCAACCAGCAAGCTCCTACCCTCTCACTCATGAACCCGTGAAGATCCGGGTTAGTATTGGTCTTCAGTAACCCATGTTTGTCGAGGCGACTAACGGGATCGGGTGGTCAGGTTCGCTGACTTGGTTGACACATCGGTTCCCATCCATCCACCAGCTCATCACCCAGTTATGGAGTCCACATGTCCACACTCCCACTACCCAGTCATTCAGACCATCCATTCACCAGCCCATCACCCAGTCATTCAGACCATCCATTCACCAGCCCATCACCCAGTCATTCAGACCATCCATGCACCAGCCCATCACCCAGCCCCATCACACCAGTCCACCATCCATCCCAGCCCATCACAGTCATGGAGTCCATCTCATCCAGCCATCACTCCGACTACCCAGTCATTTCAGACCATCCATCCATTCACATTCAGACCATCCATTCAGCCCATCATCCAGTCATTCACACCATCAATCCCACTACCCAGTCACCAGCCCCTCACCCATCCACCAGCCCATCATTCAGACAATCAATACACCAGCCCATTCATCACCCACTCATTCTGACCATCCATACACCAGCCCATCACCAGCCCATCACCCAGTGCAGTCATTCACCAGACCATCCAGTCATTCAGACCATCCATTCACCAGCCCATCACCCAGTCATTCTGACCATCCATACACCAGCCCATCACCCAGTCATTGAGTCCACTCATCCACACTCCCACTACCCAGTCATTCAGACCATCCATACACCAGCCCATCACCCAGTCATCCAGGAGACAGTCACACACTGACCCAGTCACCCGCTCACCTACTGTGTCTATTGTTCCAGGTCCTGCGTACTGGGGACTCCTGAACATCGACTGGGCGCTGTGCAATAAAGGCAGGAATCAATCTCCGATCAACATTGACCCCAAAACCTTGCTGTTCGACCCCAGCCTTGGACCAATAGTCATAGAAGGAGACCGTGTAAGTATTGAACATATCGGCACTGTTCCTCATTGTTCTCGATAGCATGCTGAGTTCATTTGGTTTGAGTGAGTGAGTATAGTTTTACGCCGAGTATAGCAATATTCCAGAAATATCACGGCGAGAGAAACCAACACATCTTTACACAGTGTACCCGCGTGGGGATTCGAACCCTAGTTTCCGGCGAGACGATCGAAAGTTTTAAACGACTAGGCTACCCTACGCCCCCTCATTTGGTTTGCGATAACTCAGTGGTTCACCTTGTGATATATGCTTACATCTATGTGTTACCAAACATCTTTTCCAGCATCTTCAGGCGCTAAGTCTGCTAAAAACAGTCTTATAGAATTGAGACAACTTCCTCCCGATCCCTTGTTTAATATCACACAAACCCAGAAGCGATTTCTTGTATTTCGTCAGGTTTTATCATCATTCGTATTGATTTCAAATAGACACTGAAAACCGGTGTAATAAACAGACGTACTATTCTTGGTAACGAATCTTAAGACTTCAGGTTGATCAGTACGATTGCTAACATTCAACAGAACGCTGTAATACAGGGGGTTTCAGTTGTTTGACGGGTCTCTCCTGGTACATGGTCACAGGTACAAATTCAGTTGAACTGAACTATATAGAAAACATGGTCAGGGGTATATATACAGCTGAACTCACTCGATGGTCGTCAGGGAGACACATAAATGTCAACATAAATCTGAAATACAGCTTTGTGCTCAGAGAGAGTCGACACACCAATTTGTTCTGATCTCTGAAGTACTGGGTCAGAGAGACGCTTAAAGTCGCACGAAGTCTGAAGAACACACGCCAGAGAGACACGTCACACAGAACTCTGATGTACAGGGTCTTATAGGCACGCAAAGGTGTACAGTGGTCTTAAGAGCATACGTCAAAGAGAAACATCAAGCTTGTACAGAGCTCTGATGTACAGGGTCGTAGAGTCACACAAAATTGTACAGAGGTCTAGGGATCACACGTCATAGAGACATATAAATCTTTACAGAGCTCTGAAAAAAAACCCAATCAGAGGATAAAGAGACAAAAAAAGTTGTACATAACTTAAAGAAAATGGTCAAAAGAGACACCAAAACCTGTACATGCATGATTTTAAAGAACAGGGTAATAGAGAAACAAAAAGTGGTATATAACATGAAAGAACAGAGTTCATAGATACAAAAAGTTGCACGTAACTTGAAAGGACAGGGCAATAGGGAAACAAAAAGTTGTACATAACTTTAAAGAACAGGGAAATAGAGACAGAAAGTTTTACAAAGGTCGGAACACTTAGTGGGATTTCTACGTTGAAAAGATCCTCTAGTACAGAGACAGGGATACATACAAATTGAACAAAACTCGGTACTCAGGAGGTGGAATTTCTTATGGTTGATTATGATCTTCAGTGCTGAGAGAGTTGAGACGTATGGTCGAATGACGTTTCAAATCCAGGTTTTGGGGTGAGATGTATGGTTGGCCAGAACTCCCGTGTAGTTTGAAAAGTGTTCGGTTTCAGTTAATGGAAACGTTATGTCACACAGAAACATTGAAAGAATACAGCAAAGAAATCCACTTAAGAAACCTGTAACAAAAATTGGAGCCGAGATTGCCTGTCTCCCCAGAGAAATGAATAACAATTACCAATGACAAAATGACAAATACCGTGACAGTATTTTTAAAAATATTCTCCCGACGTATCCACCAGTATCCCTCGAGGGCGGCATTAGGAGACACTAAGACAATGCTCTCTACAGGCGTTGTCAACAGGGATGAGAAATCCATTCAACTTCTTAAACGTTTTCTTCATCCGTGGGGGCTTTGGGTTAGAAAGTTAGAGGCAAGTGTATCTATTCTTTGATGCATTACAAGCAATCAGATTAATCTCCAGATTTCTCAGTAAAACATGCGAATCGTAATTCCTAATGGATTCGTGTCTTGGGGATAGTCCTATAAATATTACATCTACTCCAGGATCTCGGGATGTGAATGGGGAACATGGTGGCGTGATCAAAAGGGTCAAGGTAGCATGCTGTTCAAGACTAGAAGCTCCGCTCAGGGACTGCTACAGGGGACGTTTGTTATGTGGGACTGGTGTAAGGGGCGTTCTCGAGGAGAAACTGCAGTGAGGCGAAAGTATGTTGGACTGTAGCAAGTGGGTGGGGGTTTGGGTAGAAGGAGGTGAGGTGAGGTGAAATTGGGTTTAACGTCGTGCCTGAGAATATTTCGCTCATATGACGACGTTTGGGTAGAAGGAGGAATGGGGTAAACACAAAGGAGTCTGTAATAGACTGCTACAAGGGACGTTGGATATGCATGAGGGACTGCTTTCATAAGTCGTCCCTATTAAAACTATTACAAGGGTCCTTCTGTATGAGGAACTGTTAAAACGTAGCTATGTGTCAGAGACTGATATAAGGGGTTTTTGTTTTGGGGAATGTTGTAGGGGCCGTTGTGTACTAGAGGGGTGTTCTGTATGAGGACTGCTGTAAGGGAGATCTGTATGAGGGACTGCTGTAAGGGAGCTCTGTATGAGGGACTGCTGTAAGGGAACTCTGTATGAGGAACTGTGAGGGACTAAAACGCTCTGTAGCTATGTATCAGGGAGCTGTATGAGGGACTGCTATAAGGGAGCTCTGTATTTAAGGGAATGCTGTAAGGGAGCCTGCTGTGTAGGGAGGGGCTGTTCTGTATGAGGGACTGCTGTAAGGAGCTCTGTATGAGGGACTGCTGTAAGGGAGCTGCTGTAACTGCTGTAAGGAAGCTCTGGAGGGAGCTCTGTATGAGGGACTGCTGTAAGGGAGCTCTGTATGAGGACTGTATGAGGAACTGCTGTAAAAGCGTAGCTATCTGTATGAGGGACTGCTGTTCTGTAGGGGGACTGCTGTATCTGTGGGAATGCTGCTGTAAGGGCTCTGTATGAGGGACTGCTGTAAGGGCTCTGTATGAGGGACTGCTGTAAGGGAGCTCTGTATGAGGGACTGCTGTAAGGGAGTATGAGGGACTGCTGTAACTGCTGTAAGGGAGCTCTGTATGAGGGACTGCTGTAACGGGAGCTCTGTTTGAGGGGACTGCTGTAAGGGAGCTCTGTATGGAGACTGCTGTAAGGGACTGCTGTAAGGGAGCTCTGTATGAGGGACTGCTGTAAGGGGAGCTCTGTATGAGGGACTGCTGTAAGGGGAGCTCTGTATGAGGGACTGCTGTAAGGGAGCTCTGTATGAGGGACTGCTGTAAGGGAGCTCTGTATGAGGGACTGCTGTAAGGGAGCTCTGTGTGAGGAGGGACTGCTGTAACTGGTGAGCTCTGTATGAGGGACTGCTGTAAGGGGAGCTTCTGCTGTAAGGAGCTCTGAGGGACTGCTGTAAGGGAGCTCTGTATGAGGGACTGCTGTAAGGGAGCTCTGTATGAGGGACTGCTGTAAGGGAGCTCTGTATGAGGGACTGCTGTAAGGGGAGCTCTGTATGAGGAACTGCTGTAGGTACTGCTGTAAGGGGAGCTCTGTATGAGGGACTGCTGTAAGGGGAGCTGTATGAGCTGAGCTGTATGGGACTGCTGTAAGGAGCTCTGTATGGGGACTGCTGTAAGGGAGCTCTGTATGAGCTGTAAGGAGCTCTGTATGGCGATGGGGACTGCTGCTGTAAGGGAGCTCTGTATGAGGGACTGCTGTAAGGGAGCTCTGTGTGTAAGGGGAGCTGCTGTATGGGGACTGCTGTATGGGGACTGCTGTAGGGAGCTGTATGGGGACTGTAAGGGAGCTCTGTATGAGGAACTGCTGTAAGGGGACTGCTGTAAGGGAGCTCTGTATGGGGGACTGCAGTAAGGGAGCTCTGTATGATGGGACTGCTGTAAGGGGAGCTCTGTATGACTGGACTGCTGTAAGGGGCCTGAGCTCTGTTTGAGGGACTGCTGTAAGGGAGGGGAGCTCTGTATGGGGACTGCTGTATCTGTAGGGGACTGCAGTGTAGGGGACTGCTGTAAGGGAGCTAAGGGAGTGTATGAGGGACTGCTCTGTATGGACTGGGAGGGGGAGCTCTTTTTGAGGGATTCCTAAAAAAGATGCACTTAATGAGAAACTGATGTAAGGGGAGCTATGTATGAGAAACTGCATCAAGATGTATTCTGTATGAATCACCTGTTGCCACCTCTCTCCCACAAAACTCATAAAAAATACGATCTAAACCCACTATACATCAACTCCTTGCCACCCAACAACGAAATCTCCGTTTGGCACCGTGAGAACGATCTGAACCCACCGTACACAACTCCCTTTCCACCACCCATAACGAAATCCCCGATTGTCCTATTGGGTACGACACAAACCTACCATACATCAACTCCCTTGTCACAGCTCTTGTATAACCCGTGTCTCCTTCTCCAGCCTCATCAACGCCCCTATCCCCATCACCAACCCTCCCGCTATCTCCCCATTCTTTCAGTCACCTCCCCGTGCACCAGACGTGACTGGAATACCTATTTCTGCAGCTGCTGTCGCGTCTCACATCAGAGGTGAAGTGCGCAGCACAAACTGGGACCATGCTGTCAGTAGAAAGAAGATTGGTCTCGGGTTGAAATAGGTATACATGTTCCAGTTCTGATGTTTGCTCTGCATAGACACGCTGAGTGATTTCATTAATGTTTTATGTGACAACTCACGGAGACCGCTGACCCAAACACGGCACCGAACATTTTAATCGAACAAACCTTGTTCCCCCGATCTATATGCTTTGGATATCCCGCCATCTTGTCATTAATGTAATTGCTTCACGTTCAATTGACCGTGGCTGAGATAACATTGGTTGGTATCATGCGCCGCGCGTCAGCCTCATCCCGGCTGATTCATAAACAACAGCTCAAGTCAGCCGTGATCGTAGTCATATAACGATAGCCTCAACACTCCGGGATTATATTTGACTGTGTCGGTAGAAAGAGCGTAGAACCAACAAATCCATAAGCACCATGTCAAAGCTTGTGGTTGTATGAGATAGTAGAAATAC